TGTCCACGTTTTCCGATGAAATCAGCCACAGTGAGAACAGGGAGCTCTAAAATCTGCTAGTTTTCTTAACGTTATGGGTGAAGCAGATAAAGGGGCAGAGGGGTTTAAAATTTACATACGTAAATAACAGTTGATTTAAACACCAACACGCCGGACTAAGATATAATTTAGTGTTATCGCTGTGTATAACATGGTTTGACACAAATTTCAGCTCTCGCTGGGACTGGAACTGCGTATGGGTTGACGGCCAAGGCGTTGTGTAATCTGGTGGATTGAAATATGTCTTTGTCGAAGTCTAGTAAAAGATCATATCGATACCGTGAGAAATGTGAACAATGCGAGAAAGAATTCGACTATGTAGAAGCTCATTCCCGAATTGTTCACAGCGGCCGAAAAGTGAAATGTCTGCCAGTGGTAGAATCGTCACAGTTGAAATTAAGTGGTTTCTTCTCTAAAAGCAGTGCAGCAGTCGAATCTCCAGGTCAGACATAGGAGGCACGCTTGTTGGATGTAGTCCAGAGAGTGAACAACGTACTATTTCATCAACATACGAATCTGTTGCAAATATCAAGCCAGATCCTGAATCAAGCGACCAAGATTCACTTAAGCCTGATGCGTCAATGAGAGACGTCCAGGAACCTAGCGAGCCCAGTACCCCGATAGATAGAGGCATTCAATCAGATCACGGAGGGATTGCTAAACTAGAGCCAAAGTCCTCTACATCACCTACGTTGACGACAATGGTACCAAAACAACCTGTTTTACCCAAATATCCGGGCACCAAGTTCAGCAATGAGTTTTTCACTAGACAATTCCAGCCTGACTGGTATAAAAATTATCTATGGCGCAGCTCCAATTGCATGCTCAGTGGACAACACCCACCATCCAAAATGAGCTACTTGCAATAGTGTCAGACCTTGTGCTTGAGAGAATCACGACAGAAGTAAGGAAGAGTGGTTACTTTGGAATCATCATGGATGAAACTTCGGACATCTGTAGAACCGAAGAGGTATCCTTGTGAGGACAAAGTGAGACAAAAGAAAACTTCATTGATTTCTTTGCCACTGCTTCTACGGAGGGGGAAGTTCTGTACGAGCTCGCAAAAACAGCCATAAATAAGCTGGATTTAAGGTTGGAAAACATTATTGCCGAAAGCTTTGATGGCGCTGCGAACATGAGTGGGATTCGCAAGAGCCTTGCTACGCGTACGAAGGAATGTTCACCTCTCGGAATATACGTACATTGTTATGGTCATCTTTTACATTTGGCTCTTCAGGACACCATGACTGAAATTGAAACTCTCCGTAATGCCCTCGGTACTATCCAGAGTCTTTACAATTTCTTACACGGGAGTACCAAGCGCCATGCGTTATTCAAGGACATTGAAGTTCATGAAGAGGATGTTGCGCTTACATTAAAATCTTTGAGTACCACAAGATGGTCCTGTCGCTGGGCGGCGGTGAGGGCCGTGCTAGAGCAAGTGCCAAGGATAATGGCAGCCCTGGTCACTTTATCAAAGGATCGCGATCCGAAGACCTACAACGAAAGTTATTCGCTTCTCCACTCAATTTGTGACTTTCAGTTTGTTTATGGCTTGATGGTTTTGAAGCTCATATTATCCAACACTGATAATCTGAGTAGATATCTACAGGGAGAACAGATGAATGTCATCACTGCTAATAAGACTGATGATGCTGTCGTTAAGACACTGAGCAATTGTCGCAATGAAGAGAGCTTCACTCAGATGTGGTCACATGCTGATGTTATAGCGCAAAAAATCAGAATAGGAATCGTGGGTACGAAATTTACCTTCAGAGATGCCAAGGTGCCTCGAACCAGACCATCACGCCGACTTCAGGGCCTTACTGGCGAGACACCTGCTGCAGCGAACGACAGCTCACAACAGACGGCAAAAGACTACTTTCGTATCACAGTTTATTACACAACTATTGACAAAGTCGTTAGTGAACTTCAATCAAGGTTTGAGGGCAATGACCAGGAGGTTTTGTGCGCATTGGGCGAAATCATATTCAGCCATTCCCCAAGCATCAACAACATCCAACCTGTATCAAATTTCTATGGCGTGGAAAGTCAAATGCTATCAATTGAAAACTACGACTGCGGGGACCCATGCCAGAGAAAAAACGCAGCCGTGATAGTAAAGACCATGCATCAGAATGGTCTCCATGACATTTTACCCGTTCTATATAAAGTTGCCTCCATCCTGGCCAGAATTCCTGCAACCTCGTGCTCTGCTGAAAGGTCTTTCAGCGCCCTTCGCCGCATCAAGACATTTTTAAGATCCACAATGGGACAAGACAGACTTAGCAGTATCGCCGTTATTAACATTGAAAGAAAGTATGCGAACAAGACAATGCAGAATGACATGCAAAGGATTATTGACATATTTGGGTCTCGAAGTAATCGTTCTTCATACTTCTTTTAGAGCTCAAATGGGTACGCTTTATCTCTCACTTCTTGGTTTTGTATTTTAGAAATGTTGATCTCGATTTACCGAAAATATTTGCACTATTTTGAACGCCCTAGCTCTCAAGGTATGGCGAAGAAAACTTGACGTCGTGAAAGAATCGTCTTGTGCATCTGTGAGCAACAAGTTTCATTCGGGCAAATTATGTTCAGCCCCCCCACCAAAATTTTCCCGTACGCCGATGATGTTAGATGTTGTTTATAAGAACGAACGAGCCGCCCGCATCTCAGTGAAATAACTCCGCTTTAATCATCGATATTAGGGACCTTAAGATCCGAGGACGGCGGATGCCTACGACGGCGGGCGGAAGTTTGAATGCGTGTTTACCTACTTCCGGTAGCAGTTCCCCGTAAATTCCCGCCGTAGCTGTGTTTTCTGCGACATCAAAACAACTAGTTTGCCGTTTCGTACAAAACGTGAGTTGATTACAGTGTTTTTACAAACACAGCGCAAAATAACAAAAAGAAAGTCAATTGTGCCAAAGCAGCGGAAATGAGATACAGAACTCTAGAGAACCTTGGCAGGTCACAGAAAAGACAAAGGAAAGATGAGGTAGAGAATGAAACAGCAGCAAGAGTAAACGTCGAAGAAGTGGTAGTGACACGGTGGCATATTTGCGAGAAAAGAACGATCTCGTGCAGAAATGGGAAATGGAAGAGAAGCAGCGACTAGAGGCTAAGAGCAGTCCAAAAAGCAACATCAGGATTTGATGCAGGTCATGCTGCAGCAAACGAAACAGCAACAAGAACAATGTGCAAAATTTTCAGAAGATGTTCACGCTAATGCAGCAGCAGCAGTCTCAAATTATAATAAAACTCCTAGAAAAACAAAACTAACTCATGGCCTGATTTTGTGCTGTGCAAGATGAATGTAGATTTCAGCAATTTCAGGCATATGTTTCTTGATTTTGTTTTGAACACTTGCTTTTATTTTATTGTTAGGTTTTCCATGTTATATCAGCTTCATGTTCAGACTTTTTGATTCAAATAAACTTGATTAAAGACTTGATGTTACAGACACTGGACGTTTTGTGCTCCTGGGTTCAGGAGTGTATCATTCCACTGAGTTATTCTGTGATCATGTTCAGATAAATTTATCTACCACAAGGCTGGAAGTCATGATTAGCTCTGGAACTGGGCGGCTGAATCGTGGAATTAAATCACTGAGTCTACATGGGTAGGCAAACCTTCGAAGTGCGATACACAACCCTTCAATTCCACCGCATATTGTTCCTTGTTGACATGTAATGTAGTTAGGAAGATGTAAGGCCTCAGAAAGGACGGGAAGGTCACTCTTACAAAAACGAAACTCGGATAAACACTCACTGTCATCTATATCATTTAAATCAAATTTCCCATAACTTTCATAAGGAAAATCTGGGTTTTTGGATGTGTTAACGTCACAAGAAGAAAGAAGAAGGAACTCGTCCTCTTATATATCGTCATCATCAAAACTTTGCAGAAGAATGTTACGAATCTCTCTAAAGGAGGCCATGACTGAAGTACTTTATGATAAAAATCGAAAATATGTAAACAATGCCGCCCGCGCCTTCGACTTGGTCTCTTAAGGATTTTTTGCGCCTCACGACGGCATCCTCTTCCCCCTCGGTCATCACAGCCGTCGTAGACATCCGCCGTCCTCGGATCTTAAGGTCCTCAGTTGCTCAAAAACGGGGAGAAGTCGGCTGTGAAAGTGTTGGCCATTGTTATTGGCCTGTTCCTTGTTTGTTCCGCATGTTATCTGCGGTGTAGTCTTATATACATAATGAAAGACAAACAACCATGTAATGATAAAAAATTCAAATTGCCTCTGTTAGTTTTAAACTCTGCCATCAATCAGTTGCTTACGCTCTGTTTAAGAGAAACAAAAAAGAGGAAGCAAAACGATGCATTTGCTGCGTGATCTGAAAGAAGAGAAACAACATTGAACCACTTAATGACTCGCATACAATATAAGTAGTCTAATTTTAGACAAAATGTTTTGGGTGAAGCACAAAATAAAGTGTTTCTACTTGTGCTATATTTGAATAAAGCTGCTTTGCTGGGCTAATTTGCAAATGAAGGAGTTCTAGCGTTGATGCCAGTTAACATCAAATAGTTTTAAAAAAACAGTTCAAAATTCTTCAGTGTTGAATCCTTAAATCTTAATAAACAAACCCGAGAGGGAATTTAATAGTTATCACCAAAAACCGTTTTCCAGAAATTAACAGTGAAAAGTACGTAAACATGATGTGTATGTACAAAATTAGTTCATCTGTCAGGTTTTTTTTTCCTGTTGAACCTACGAGGTTTTAATTAATTAAACTCGTAAATTAACATTTTTCTCTTCTTAATCCTTGAGTTGAAACGCGTATCGTTGAAATGCGATTCGTATCTGACGAATGTAAGAAGGCCATCCTTTTCTCCGCAGAAGATTTTGAGACATAATATATAATAGATGCCGTTTCTTAAGTGATGAGCAGCGTTAGGCTTGCCATGAAAGTGATGGCTATTGTTATAGGCTTCTTTTGAGATTAGCTTTGGAGAGTAAATCTCTCTCTATTTAATAACCACTCTATTCCATTCTATTGATGTCACTTGAGATCAGCTGGTTCACTGGTAGAAACAGTTGTACCCTGGCAACAAGCAAATGTCAAAGTTTGCTAAGTTTAACCCCTAAACTCCAATAACTGACCAGCGTCAAATGGTTCCTTACAGCATCACCATTGAGTCAAAGTAAGGTCTTGATAATCGGAGGGGAGCGAACGTTGAGTAAAGAAGCTCTTGATTGATAGCCAAATCTTCTTGTCATGACCGTAGAAAATTTATATAGAGAAGAGTATGGAGAATGTTCATACTAATGTTATGGTTCGATGTGTCTATTTTTTAGGACCTGACAATGTCCTCAATCGAAACAGCTTGTCAAATCTAGCTATCCCTTTCCGTTTTACCAAAATATCAAGTTAACGCCAACATGGTAATTTGAGCAATTTTCAAAATTTAATACAGAAGTAATCACGAATGTTTCCCCCGAGCGTGTTTCTCTTATGATCAGTTTACTTCCTGCATTTCATGACTTATCAATCAAGGAATGGAGGCTGTTGACCTTCAATAAGAACGGCGAGAATTCAGGCTAGTTAATCAAGGAGACGGGGGACTTTACACAAGACAAAATCACCAGGTGTTTTCAAATAATTTGCGAATTGTTTATGTTAGCTCCGCACCGGAAGTTTTATCCTCTCGACGTTATTTATGTAGGGCCGGCCACTTGGAATAGCAATATGGAAACATGGTTTTGGATTGTTGGCTGGTCTCTTTCCATCCTGACCATGACTGGAAATGGATTTATTATCTTCCTTGTCTGCAGAAGACGGCGGCTTCGCACCAAAACCAACGCATTTATATTTTCTCTTGCAGTGGCTGACTTCTGTGCTGGGTTGAGTGCCTTCCCTCCGCTTTTCCTCTGCGACGCGATAACTGGATGCGACCCAAAGGCTTTCCTTGCGAGCGGAGTGGATTATTTAAGGTGGCTGTTCATGTACGCGTCCGTGACAAACTTATGCTGTTTAGTCCTGGAGCGTTACGTTGCAGTTGTGAAGCCTTTAAGGTATTTGACTTTTATGACGCGAAGACGTGTTTCCCAGATGATCTTTATATCCTGGACCATTGCAGTGGTTATCGTCTTGGTTTTTATACTAAACTGGCTTGTTTTTAGTGAGGGTCTGTTGTTTAAAGTGCTGATATCGATTCTAATGTTTTTGTTAGAATTCTTACCGTGTTGCGGTCTAATTTTCTGCTTTGGATCAATGTACTATGTTATTTATAAGCACGAAAGAGCCGCCCATATCTTAGCAAAACAACTGCGCTTTAACCACCGATTTTTGTTCAGAGTCCAGGGGAAGTCTGCTGTTAAAATAATGGCAATTGTTATCGGCTTGTTTCTTGTAGCTTATTCGTTAGCTTTGCGATGTAGCTTTATTTACATTTTGAAAGACGAAAAACCGTGTGATGATCAAGAATATAAAATACCCCTTCTTGTATTAAACTCCGCCATTAACCCCGTCGCTTACGCTATCTTCAAGAGAGACATAAACATGGAGGTAACACGGTATATTTGCTGTTTCATATGTAAAAAAAGGAACCACATTGAGCCCATTAATGAAAACAACTCATTCATCCTACGCAGCTATAATGCATAGCACGTCAAACCAGAACTAAAAACCTTGGATGAACTTGTCGTCAACCAGAAATATTCAGTTACCTATTATCAATCTTTCCACCTGCAGTTAGCAGTTGATAACTAAATTATGAAATTAATATCATGTTTAAGGATTTGCGTACGGTGTTTGTATGATGAAAAGAGTAGATCAGGCACATAATGATGAAAAAAGATTCTTGTAGTCTCATCTTTTCTTGCCTATTCTCGTTCCTTTTAATCTCTTTTCTTTTGTCTAGTTATGCTAATCTGTTTGTTTTATTTTATAGTTTTGCATGCCAGTCTTTGAGTCAGTCAGTCGGTCAATCAGTCAGTTAGTCAATCAGTCAGTAAGTTTTCAGTCAGTTTATTAGTCACCCAGTCCACCTGCTAGTAAATCAGTCAGTCAGGGTATTCATTCAGTCAATTTAGTATTATCAACTGAGTTGATAATGTAAATTGGCCCCCCATAAAGAGTTTTAAAGCTAATGTTTCGAGCGTTAGCCCTTCGTCAGAGCGAATGGAGGAAATGTGGGTGGTGTATATGTTTATATGAAGACAAAAGGAGCTAAGCTATTGGCATAAATATGGCGATGAGGAGGCAATATTATCGTGCTTACGCCATTAGCGTAGCTTCCTTTTTCTGCACACATTCCTCAATTCTTCCATTGGCTCTGACGAAGGACTAAAGCTAGAAATATCAGCTTTAAAATTCATCATGGTGGCCAATTTCCGTTTGAACTAAGTGGATAATACTTAATTACCCTGTTGTACTCTGCCATCGACGCAGCACCACAGTTTCTTTATAATTAGAAACCCACCTCTTACTCATTCAGTGTGTCAGCCAGTCAATTCATCAGTCAATCACTAAGTTAATCAGTCAGTCGATCAGGGTTTTCAGTTCTATGTACCATTATGAATCGCGTGGGGCAATAAAATTTAACCTGATCCCCCATAAAGCTTTGTATTATTTTTATGCTCCCTTTTCACTGGCACTTTAATTTGCAGTCAATTTTCTTTAGTCCCCCTCTTCATACTTTGTTGGCGACGACTGATGTCTCCCTCCGTTTTCTCATGAAAACCACCTGATCCCCCAAACCCTCCAAAAACTCCCTCTTCCATCCCACCCAGGTGATAAATAATGACTGGTCCCCAAGAAAAATTTCATTTTCACGTTCAAGTCTATTTGAAGGTCTTATTTGAAGATCTCTTCGATGCAACACACATGTAGTGTGAAAGGAGTAAAGTTTGAAAGTAAAGTTAGAGATTGATTC